TGTTAAGCGCTACAAGTTCGAAGAGGCCACCTATTCCCTAAACACCGGTCATTTCAGGCTGTGACCACGTTTTTAGGTTGGCTGCGCGACATTTTACGTCTGCATCATACGCGCAAAGTGTCGAGAATTGTCGGTACTTGTTCCGAGTAGCCCGGCACACAGTTTCAAATCCACACGCTTTTTCAACACTTGGCTAGTAATGTCGCTTTCCTACGACATGTGGCGCCCCATGTCTGTCTGTGGGGCATCACAGAAAGCCCTCTGGCACCAAATCCGAGCACTAAAGCCGTCTGATCACAATGGCAGTCACGGAAAGACATTTTTACGCGTACTAGCTTCCTAGCATGCTGGCGTCTTTTCACAACGTTGCCGACAGGTGCAAGATGAAAACGCAGAGTTTAAGAAACACAAGTCGCGGAACGTTTCTACCGTCGGTGACCGCCGTTCTACTCTTCGGTGGAGTTATCTGCAACATCATACGTGGATACGGCTGCTCCAGTAAGTAGGACCTATCTCTTTACCGCTATGTGCGTGTTTATCCATTGAATTGACGTTGAACCAAACAACACGCACCGATTTTCACCGGCACCGTAACGAAATAACGACACCGGCAATGCTGGACAGCTTGATTACTACCATAAACTTTGTTATTTTCAGCTCCGCCAAGGATAAAGCCATTCTCGTTCCCCAAAGTAGCCAGCAAGGGCGAGAAAATCAGCATCGTGTGTATGGTGAGCGAAGGAACGCTGCCGTTTTCGTTCTCCTGGTCGAAAGACGGCAAGGAAGTGCAGACCACAGACAACGTGCACGTGAAAGCGGAAACGCAGTACTCCGTGGTATTCATAAACTCCGTCGACGAAAGAACCGCTGGAAACTATACCTGCATTGTCAAGAATATATTCGGCTTCGACAGTTACTCGGCCTACCTGGATGTAGAAGGTACGTTTGTCGCTTCAGAGAATACTTGCTTTTTCATTTAAGTGATTCGGTGTCTATATAGGCGCACGATAGAAGTAACCGAACTGTATTGAATTCAGTACCCGTATAATAACATGGCTTACAAAGAGTTTAGAAAACGAACACATTATATATAGGTTGGCCAATAAACTTACGTAATGGTGCTACGAAGCACAGGCACAGCTACGAGTCTGTTTTTTTTTTTTTTTTGGGTTTATCACGATGTGTACTGTCTAACAACCGTAACACTCAGGCAACCAGCTAAACATGTAGCGCCTTCCCTATTCATTTTTCCTATTTTTTTATTCTAATGTACCATGGTTGCTTTTGCTTCTGTTTATACAAATTATGACCTTGCAAAATTGTGCCTAAGAGGACCAAGCAGCATCGTGGTAAAAGTCATGCTGCCGGACCATCTTAACTTTTCAGGTTACAAATGAGAGACGGAAGGCATGGAGAATGCGCCAAGAACATTTCTTTCTTTGTTAATTGGCACTGCTAATGTATAACATGCATAATTATCGACTTTAAAACTGTAGGAATCATTCTGAACCCCTTTTCTTTTTCTCTGCAGCGCCGCCGGTGCTCAAGAAAACAACACCGGACACAAATGTTGTCCAAGGCGGCAGCATCACACTGAGTTGCCTGGCAACAGGTTCGCCAAAGCCATCTGTGAATTGGTCAAAATCGTCGGGTAAGGATCAGAAAGTACAAAAAACCAACATCTGCATTCATGTAAACGTAACAAAAGAATCCGCTCCCTTACTAGCGCACGTAAACGCAGGAACTGCCGGCGCGGTCGCCCTTGCCACCAACCCTCGAATACAGTCTTCTCCGAACGGCACGCTTCTCTTCGAAGGAGTTTCAGCTGAAGACGCTGGGAAATACACGTGCACGGCCCAGAACGCCATCGGATCTGTCAGCCACTCACTGTACTTGCACGTGCGGGGTATGAAACGAAGGCTTGTTTCTATGACGATTCGCTGCACGCACAACATGCAAGGCACCTGACGACGAGAGAGAGGGGGGAATAGACCACTCCGTGTGCCATGTCGCGTAATAACACTAGTGGTGGTTCACTACGCAGATAAATGTATTTACCACCAATCCTCCATCGTTAGTTTCATTTTAAGACAGCAAATCTTCTTTCAAAGAGGATTATCTAGCGCTTGTGATGATCGCCGCATGGAGCGATGGACGCTTTCCGTGTACATCTATGGCAAGGTGCTCGCGTATAGCAAACAAACTTCTCGTTCAGAAAACTCCATGCCTCTATCTGAAGCTTGACAGTGCGCTCAAAACACACGGTGAAGCCAACATAGCACTGATGGTAAAATGACGTAAAGCAGCCACTTCAAATGCAGAGGGACTTTTAACATTCGTCTAGTAATAGCAGTTTTCTGCGACATGTGGCGCCTCTTGTCCACGCGCCAGGGGTAGACGAAAAGCCCCCTGGCCGCGACTGTAGGCATCAAAGCCACTGACTGGCCATGGCTGCCGCAGCAAGTCACCGCACATAAGCTGTTTTCGCAGTGTTCTCCAATAACACACCACGAAAACCGACGGGCAAAGGAGGCACAGCCGAGATGAACGCGCAGAATCTGCCGTCAAAAACCAAGCTCTCTGCATCGCTTACGTTGCTCTGCATCTGCCTAGGCTACATCGAAAGTACAAGTAAGTACAACGTTTGTTTACCACACCATGCACGATTGCCGTTGCCCTGACCTTAACCGGCCCAATGTTACAGTTTGCGTGTACAGAATTGCTGTTGATGCATATTCTACCTCGTTCTAAGCGAAACATTTCATAGTCTATGTTCCCTGAAGCGTCACCCAAGTGTCCTCGATGTTTTGCATGCATCAAGAAGTCTCGGGTTCTCCACAGTGAAAACCGTCACTTTTTCGAGCCTGCACTCATCCTTGAGGTTAAATTAAATTAAAATTAATTAAGTAGAACCTAGACAGTATACCACGTCTGCTGCTTTGTGCTAAATACCAAGTTTAGCATGCAGAACAATACGATGGTCAAGTATATATTAATGCTTTGTTTTGTTTTCAGCACCGCCGAGAATAAGGCCATTCTCGTTCCCCAAAGTAGCCAGCAAAGGCGAAAAAATCAGCATCGTCTGTTCAGTCAGTGATGGAACGCCTCCGTTTTCATTTTCGTGGTCGAAAGATGGCAATGAACTACAGACATCAGACAGGGTGAAAGTGAAACCAGAGCCCGAGTACTCCGTGGCTTTCATCAACTCTGTTGACGAGAAAAGTGCCGGCAACTACACCTGCATCGTCAAGAACATATTCGGCTTCGACAGCTACTCGGCCTACCTAGATGTAGAAGGTAGGTTTGCTATTTCTATTCACCGAGTACCACATATAACAAGCGATAAACGAACTACGAAAGCTTTTTTCGATGCACTCAATTTGGTATCATTGCCCGTGAACGACAATAAAATTTCTGAAATTAACTCTGAGTTTGGCAAGCATTAGAGCGTCCGGTGGTTAGTATCTCTCGTTAATTAATATAATTATGCAGTATCTCTCGCCAACGTGTGATTTTATTTCTCCTGTACCCCAGTAATATGATTTGCGTTAGGTTAGCCTGCGCTACATCTGTCCTGTCGTTTCATGGCCAACCATACAGCCCCTTCAATTTTGAACTTCATGAAATTGAACAAGCCATCATCTTAAGCTTGAAAAAAGCTTTGGAATGTTTGTTATCACTTTCAATAGCACGTCAACTTGCTTTATGGCCGGGCAACCTCACAAGCTTATAGAAGACGGTAAAAAAAGTAAAAGGCAGCAATGCTGTGATGCACTTCTGAAAGAAATTCTGCAGTACACAACAAAGGGTAGATCAGGCGAATGACGAGTAATAATTTTTTTGTTGCGAACGTAATGTACTGCCCGCTTTAAAATGTAACGTAAGGATTCATGCCCGCTCCACCTGCATATCGCAGCGCCACCCGTACTGAAGAAAACAACGCCTGACACGAACGTTGTTCAAGGAGGCGGCGTTAACCTGGCCTGCCGAGCTACTGGTTCACCGAAGCCCACAATAATCTGGACAAGATTGTTCGGTAACTATACACGCACACCAACTAAAACATTGTCAAGCACGCAAGTAGAAGCCCCGTAACGGATTTCACTGTCTGAATTACATTTACTAACGCAGGAACAGCCGGAGAGGCAGCCGTTCCTGATGCCGACGCTCGGATGCTGGCTTCCCCGAACGGCACACTGCTCATCGAAGATGTCGTAGCTGAGGACGCCGGGAAATACACATGCACGGCCCAGAACTCCATAGGATCCGTCAGCCACTCGCTGTACTTGCACGTGAGGGGTATGAAACGACGACTCTGTCCGCCACAAACACCGCTCACCGCAGAATGAAACATAGCTTTTTTTTCCAACTGCGTACATACCTCTGTACACGCCCGACACGAATGTACATACGCAACAGTACGGCTGCATCATGCTTACTTGTCGAAGCTATATGAATGAGGACTTGTTGGGCAAGTTAGTGTTTGCTAATCGTCGCAGTATAGCACGAATACAAAAATACAAAGACACTAAGTGTTTTATGTGTCAGGGCTTTTCTATTTTTTGTCTGCGCGATACACCTATGACCAGAAGCCACGTATGTGCGGGAAATAAGTTCAAGATCAAGCTTTCAGGACCGGAGCTTAAGCCAATTTTACGCTAGTCTGGATGTCACTGCCTTTAGCGAAAACTATCATATTTAAAAATATTCGCCAGTAGCGTTAAAAACACTGAACACCCAACTTTGATTTTCCTAAAGTAAAACTAACCACTGGTTTTCGGGCCCTACAGCCGCAACATCGGCAGGGTACGGAAAACACCGTTGCAACGCCCTCATGCATAAGCTGCCCATATATATCGCGATGAAACAAGGCTTGCGATACGGACACGAAATGTTTACATCGATACAACGCGTGAAGGCGTAACCACGGCCCTACTTTGTTGAGCAAGCAAGGACTCAACTTCGAAATGCGAGGCATTTTTTTTTACACTGTGCACGTAATATCACTTTTATTCGACATGTGGCGCCCCTTGTCCGTAAGCCAAGGGTCGGATAAAGTCACCTAGCGTCGACCACGAGCACTAATACGAGACTGACCATGGCTGTGAAAACAAGACACGCGTAGCAAGCGACTTCGTTACTTCATTTTCTTTTTCGGCGAAGGCAACATGAAAGCCAAAGCGTATATGTAAGCACGCCACTTCATTAATCAGCTTTTCAAGAAAGGCAACATGAAGGCCACAAAATGCTCAAACGTGAGAGCGGTTCTGCTACCATCAACAACGTTTCTGGCACTCTGCATTTTCCTGCACGTAGGCGTACGTTTCTCCGACTGTTCGAGTGAGTACAACATTTTACGTTACGATGCACGCACTGCACAGGCTCATATGCAGCCGCTAGCAATCGTGCTTAAGTGAAAGACTTCTGTGAAACGGACATAAATAAGGATGTCTTTACTGTTCGTTTTCCAGCCCCACCAACGATAAAGCCGTTCTCCTTCGCAAAAGTAGCCAGCAAAGGCGACAAAATCAGCATCATATGCTTGGTAACTGAGGGTACGCCACCCTTTTCTTTCTCGTGGTCGAAAGACGGCAAAGAAATACAGACGACGGAAAACGTGAAGGTGAAGACGGAGTCAGATTACTCCCTGACGATAATCAGCTCCATCGACGAGAGAAGCGCCGGTAACTACACCTGCATCGTGAAGAACATATTCGGCTTTGACACCCACTCGGCCTACCTTGACGTCGAAGGTAAGTTTGCTGTGGCTGCTCAGTGGGCAGTTTGAACATCCACAAATGTCAGTCGCCTGGTACCAATACGCCTGGATGCCAACGAATGTCACATGGGCGTTCAATAAATGCATTTAAGCTATACAAAGCATCGAAAGACCAACGCTCTCTGTCGCATTATAAGCAACTACTATGGTGCTAAAGGTCTCACACAAAATTAACACCCAGATATATCTTAGGAGACTAATCCGGAACAGCTGAGTGACAGCAATAGAACATTTTTGTAACTGGTGCTCATTATTGTCGCTTTGTCTAGCTCCGCCCGTTTTCAAGAAAACAACGACCGACACAAACGTCGTTCAAGGCGGCAGCGTGGTCCTCAGCTGCCAAGCGACCGGGTCGCCAAAACCGACTGTGAAGTGGTCAATGCCATCAGGTACGGATCTCGACAACATTTCCCATCGATAAATGATCGAACACTGCTCGCGCTTAAGAAGTTTCACAGAGATGTGAAAACTTTTGTATGAAGCACCTATAGTAGGCAGCCCTTTACCCAAACATGGCATTCACAATATTCAATCTCTTGCCTAATGCCGCTCGTTTTATCAGCCATAGATGTGTCCTATATTTCGCCTTCCTCCAATCTCACAAACAAAATGTTTTAACGTTTCGCACAACTGACCTGTTTAAAAAGCTTCTTTTTTTTACCTCAACAGTTGAACATCTGAATGATTTACCAAGATTTGTTTGTGAGTTGTAGTGTTGTGACTTATTCCCAGCCCTGTGACATCCACTCCTGTTTTAGCCCCAATGGCACTGCAGTATGTGAAAGTAAAAATAAAACAAACAAAAAATATGAACTCGCAGGTGCTGCAGACGAGGAAGTCCTTTCTGCTGCTTCCGACTCCCGAATACGGGTGTTCTCCAACGGCACGCTGCTCATTGACAAAGTCACCACCGAGGAAGCTGGAAAGTACACGTGCAGAGCCCAGAACGGCATCGGATCAGTCAGCCACTCGCTGTACCTACACGTCCGGGGTATGAACTTGAAACATCGCGAACTCAGGAGCAAATACCATTTTCGCAAATTCAACTGTACGTGGAACCGACCGGAGAATCATCTCGATGACACTGTCTCACATCCGGGAAGAATTCCGCGTTTGGAAACTGAACAAACCATAAAAAATGCATATCGCGCCTAACCTGACGACTCTGAAACGCCGCCGACCAGCAGCACGAAGCTGGTTAGCTGTAGAATCAGCTGTACAAAGCTACCAGTATACAGTGCGTTGCATAAACAACAAACGTCTTCGAAGAAGCAGCTCTAGTCGATGAAAGCAAGCAGAGCTCGAAATGATCCTATCGTCAGTGTAAATCCATGTTTACTTTGCGCCGTCGCATGCAAGCACTGTTTCGCAAACACCAAATTTGTAGAAAGATAAGACGCACAATAACTTCGTATGTGAAAGGGTTTGCTATATATATATGAACACAAAGATAAGAGTGCGGTAGACGAAGATTACTAGAGTGACGCAAGACGAATACACGACAGGGTTCACCTGAAACCTCAGCTTTTCAGTACGCATGTAACGCGCGCATGACCCGGCGAGCGACGTCGAACGTGTTCGGTCTCCTTGCGACCGTTGCGGCGAAGCGACGCATTCGTCCGCGAAGTGTCGTCTCGGTTTTCGGCAACGGCCACCGCCGCCCCTGTTACGACGTCGCCTGAGTCGTTCTTTTTTTCCCACGTCCTACAAGCAGCGACAATGCGGTTGGCCCGTTCGCCACTGCCGCAAAAGAAACGCTGCCAAGAACAGCGCGCGTGCGTCGCGCGACCGCGTGCTCCGCAAAGACGCCGTTCCTTCCACACCTAAGAGGCGCTCTGCTCTTTTTTTTTTTTTTTTCTCGTCGTACGCATACACGAAGAACACACTCACGTGTGCCTACACGAAGATTCCAACGCACACCGCTCGTCATGAGGCTCGCCTCGATTCAGCTGTGCTGCCTTTTGGCTACGCTATTCATCCAGCCCGGCGACGCGGAAGGTGAGTCTGCATATGCAGTGTTTTTCGCAATTATTTTCCCGGTATTTCAGGCGGCTAATTAGAAGTGTGGTAGCTTGGGCTAGTTGGTATGGCATGACGATAGTTATAGCGCGAGAACAAAATGACGACACAGAGACAAGAAGGACACGAAAGTCTTTCGTGTCCTTCTTGTCTCTGTGTCGTCGTTTTGTTCTCGCGCTATAACTATAGTCAAGCTAATTAGAGCCATGTGATTGATGATCCTCCGATGCCATTAGGAATGAACACTGCAGCAAGCAGGAAGAAATTCGCGACCATTATCAGACGATCAACTTACGCTAACGATTTCGATGCTTGGGCAAATAGGCACGGCATACTTTAGAAGTTTAAAACTGTGCAGAAGAAAGCATATCGCCGATAAAAGGAGGACACAAGCAACAGAGGGAATGCCAGCGTTCTTCGTTTACTGGTATTTCGTTTCCTGCGCAGTTTTCAAGTGTAAACTAATCAGCCAGAGAGTTCACAAAAAATTTTATTGCGGAGCGTTTTTTTTTTGTTTTTTTTTTGCGAGCCAAACCTGAATTTCGAAACTAATGAATCAGACACCTTTTGCAAGCGTTAACACTGCAAGAACTGGAACACTGGTGAATTAAGACAGGACGCAATAACCATCTTACAAAAGTACAGCCATGAGAAAAACTAGAACATTAAATAATCTTCGAGGTAGTCTCCATAACGAAGTCGTTAAAGCCACAGCAAGTGAGAAGTCCCTGAATGCAAAAACCAGAATTTAGTTTTCGCATGCACTTGTTACTACTTGCTAACTGTCGATTGTATAACGCTCGTTAGTGCTTCATAACTGTTCGCCAACATTTGCTTGCTTTCGCTACGTTCGTCTACTGTTCTCGGGGCACAGCGTCAGCAGTCAGAACTTTGCACACACACTACAGTTCCTCTTAAATAAATTCATTGTACTGTTGTTTTTTTTTCGCTTTTCGATAACAGATCCCATGCTAGAAATCACATGTATACTTTGTTATAGCAAAAAAATAACTAAATATAAGGTCGTATTGATTCACAGTTTTGAATACCTAATCTGAGAAACATCAGGTGCTGATACATAAAGAAAGAAACGGCCTGGAAAAACCAACACATTCATCAGCAAATTGCAAAGTGTGTCTAAGCTTCTATCGCACAATTACTTTTCGTTGGGCAAGTAGTACGTAGTAATGTACTTAAATGAATAAATGGATGGGTGGATGGAAAGTAAATAAATAAATAAGTGAATTAATTAGTTGTGTGTGAATTAATTAGTTAATGTATTAATTAATTAACCCGACACGAACCGTGAGTACACGGAGGCATCTAGGAACCAAGAAATCCCAAAGAACGCTTGACACGCATTCAAATACTCCGAAAAAAAAAAACAAAGCTATCGCAAAGTGAACAGATCACTACAGTTTGCGAAGAAAAATAACAATGTCTCGTCCGTTCCAGACGTGGCTCCAGCAATACAGCAAATAATCGCCTCCACCAAGGTGAACGCCGGCGAGAAGGCGACCGCGGCGTGCCTACTGAAGCGAGGTTCCGAGCCCCTGACGTTTCAGTGGCTGAGAAGCAGCGTGGACGCGTCGCTGTTGCCCCACGTGAGGGTGATGCGCTTCGAGGACACCCTGCTGCTGGTCGTGGACCCCGCCAGCGCGGAGTCCTCGGGAAACTACGCCTGCGCAGCGAGAAACGCGTTCGGAAGCGACGTCCAGACGGTGCACATCGAGGTGTCAGGTTGGTCCTTGAACAGGGCACTTCCTTTTCAAATGTGAGCGCGATGACCAGTCTCACGACATCAATCGCCACCCTTCGGGAGTGATTGAAAGACACCGATTCGATTAATGTACATCGCAATATATACCAAGATGAAATCAGAGAAGCAAATGCTTGAATTTTTCTTCCTTGGTGAACGGACCAGCGCTTCCTTGTTTCGCTAACACACTATCGGTTATGAGAGCATGGGGTGAAGGGGGAGAGAAACGGGATGAGATAACATCAGATGCGAAAAGCGGAGAGGCTAACTGCAATTCAGTTTGCTATCCTATACTGGCGAAGGACCAAGGTGAGATAGAAAGGTAACAAAGATGAGAACAAGATAAGAGATGGATAAACACGCTAGTTCAAACAAACTTCACCAACGCCTCTGTCACCTTCTCAGAGGGAAAATCGCACACCGCCCCCCTCCCCCCTGTACTTTACGGCTACATAGAATGCCATTTCCCGAAACTTGGTGCCGTGATAACGGTCTTAAATCTTTACATAATGTAAAATGCCAGACTTTTTTTCTATTTTATTTTTCTTTTCTGCAGTTCCACCGGAATGGAAGAAAGTTCCCGGGGACACTGAAGTCCGGGAGGGCTACAACAGGAGCTTCCAGTGCATCGCGTTCGGCTCCCCAAAGCCAAATGTCACGTGGTCCAAAAAGGAAGGTGCGTACTTCCTTCCGGTTCATTGCTACTTCCAACAGATAGTCATTTTAAAACAAATTTTCACGCTGTGGAAAAAATTTGAGCTGACCATCTTTCAAAATTTATTAAAGCCAAAGTACATAACTGGTATTCGAAAACTACCGAGGAAAACAGTGAGCCCTAGTTTGACAGCGCGAAAACGAAAAGCAGTTCAAATACTCGCGCGCCTACTGAAAGAATCAATCGGGAGGAAACAACCTGAAAGAACAGCTCAACAAAATATCGGTTCAAAGGCTTCTCGTAAACATTGCCCAAGAGAAAACCTCTGTCACCAGAACAAGGTCCAAAAGAAAGGCGGGAAGGGGAGGATGGAAGCAAGCTTGCGATAAAGAATTCGAAAACAGGGGATGGGTGCTAGAGCCGAAGTTTTGGGACAAGCCGACTTGTCTTATTCGTGGCTGCAACTCCCTGTTTTCGATTTTTTCATAGAACAAGATCCGTGTGATCTAGGCCGTCCCATAGACTGGAATGTTTTTCAGAGAGGAGAGGGGGGCGCACCTGTAAAAAGCCTTAAAGAACCCTTATTTTCACTCATTATTCTTGGTAAGACACCCCCTTCATCCAATTTGGCCCTATGGTCTGACGCATCTTTCTCTCTCGCAGAATCACGCGATGGCTGGACGAAAATGAGGGCGGATTCCAGGATCTCGTTCGAAGGTTCGACCATGACCATCGTGGACATCCAGCTTTCGGACACTGGCACGTACTCCTGCGTCGCAAGTAACGGCGTTGGACCGGGAATCACGGCTACATTCCGACTCCGCGTCAACGGTATGGCAGAAAAATCGGACGGCTGCGAAGACGCATACCATAACCGCGCTCCATACAACCAGTATTCTTACTAAAGCAGATACAAGATATCGATTACCGGGCCCATTTCTAACGGTACACGAACAAACTATTGACGATGGCGGCTTTCTGTACACAAGTTATGCGGCGCGTTAGGCACTTGGTTCCTGGTATCTCGACGCTATCATAACGCACGTCACGTACTATTGGTACATGATGTTCTCGTCAACGTAATACATAAACATCACAACCATCTGAGCGACAACATTACTTCCAAGGTGGCGTTACGCTTCACAAGTACATGTTCTAATGTGGCGTCTTGTGTTTGTTTGTTGTTGTTTTTTCACTGCCTGAGTTATATATATATATATATATATATATATATATATATATATATATATATATATATATATTTGCATGAGAATAGTTTTATCTGAGAATCTCGCTCTAACAGAAAAACTCACTCAAGTACTGACACAATGAAACGGGAAACGGAGGCCCAACTTCGAATACCCACAACGGCGCTTCACCAACCAACGAAGACATTTCGCTGTGCAATGCGAGGACGGTATGAGAAACGCTAGCAGTGTGGACAGTCAGATCACCAACTAGCACCACTATAAACCTGCACAAACGCTGCGAAGTTAGCAATTTTACATACGTACTCCAGTGCGCTCAAATCCGGGCAAATTGACATTTGCGCCGCCTGACGCTTAGTACGAGAACACGATGGTGTTGCTACCAGCAGCACCAAATTTTACTGCGAACACAAAGGCACACTTTAACGCGAGACCGCACCACGGAAATGACTACTGTGTATAGTGTAACCTTTGGACTCGACATGTTTCACACAAAGCAGTTTGTAACTCTACGGACCCAGCGTGAACGCGTTTGTTGCTGGCAACTTCAACGCATCCGCGAACCCAGAGCTCTGCGTACATCAAAGGATATTATACTTTTCCCTCGATGTGTGGCGCCTCTTGTACCGCTCGGACAGCACCCTGTAAACTCAACGCCTGACGGAGCTCCCTGAAATTCACACTTTCTGCAGATCCAAACATGTTTCACGTCCCATCTGCGCTTATGCGGCAAGGAACTACTTGAAGAGCCCAGATAAGTCGAGATAAGCATTTCGAACAAACATGCTGGCGCAAACTCCGAGAGGGACGAACGGCCCAATCTTGCTGCAAATAATAGCGACCCTTCATTTTATCATCCACCGCGGTGCCGGCCAAGCAGCCTCGAAAGGTGAGTCCACTTTTCCGCATAACATTGCTGCTTTATCACTCAGGTCTCTTGCACGTGTTTGATGACTATTATTTAACGAAACCAAACAGCGACCAAGGCATTTCCCAGTGCATGCGGTAGAGTAATGTACAGGTGAACGTACATAATGCCTATAAGTTATTTCGCTGACATTTAAGGCGGCCAATGCACTTCCCACAGGAATTCCCAAGCGAGGGTACTCCTTCCCGAAAATCGTTTCTCGTACGTGTTGCAGACTTGGCACTAGCTATCTTGGGAAGAAATGGAATTTTCGAGGTCTCATTTCTTTGACACTACCTTAATGAAAACGGGGCAATAATAAGGGCAAGTAACGCATTGGCATCGCTAACTGTACTGTTTTAAGTGTTGTTGTGTTTGTGACACAAATGTGAGAAAAGTGGGCGAAAAAACAACTTCCCATTGGCAGGGAACGAACCTGCGACCTTCGGGTATCTCAACTTTACACCTATTTGCTGACAATTTATAGGAACGATTTTCAACTCGCGTAAAACCCACCAGTGCATAGCAAATAAAATATGGAGCTTGTTTTAAAATTTTATCGTAGAAATTAGATGAGCAAACTGTGCCACACGAAAGAGAAAACATACATGTTATTTTTTTTTTGCATAGTCGGTTTTCCTTCTAATGAACTTGCGATTGCACGCATTTTTTTTTTTTCCTAATATGGTTGCTCTATGTTTTGTTCAGTGCCTGAAATGCATTCAATTTGAGAATAACACATTCGTCTGTAATGAGCATGTGTAGTTAGTCCCAACGGAAATGGTGGCCGCGACGCTCAAGCAAATTAACGCACTAAAAAGGCGGTACGCTGCGAAAGCACCAGCTAGCTTGAATGTCACGTCATACTCCAAACACAGCATTTAGGTGATGTACTCTAGCAAAATACTCATCACACCTCTGTTTCAGATGCACCAGTGGTGACGCCGTTCAGCTTCCCGACAGACCTTTCTGAAGGGTCTTCAGCGCAAGTATTTTGTGCTATTTCGAAGGGCACGCTTCCAGTGTACTTCACATGGTTCAAGGATGGGCAGACCGTCAGTGGAGACAACGTCAAAGTCACCACATCCGAGACGTTCTCCGCGCTACGCATCTCGCAAGTCTCCGCTACCGATGTGGGAAACTACACCTGCTTTGCGAAGAACCTGCAGGGCAGCGACAGCTACTCGGTCAAGCTGGAGGTCAGAGGTGAGCACAGCAACTAAGAATCGCCGCTTGCATATAAAAAAACAAGTGCGGTTCATTTACGAACAATGTGGCAGACTAAGCCCTTCTACAGTGCCCAGCCAGCATAGTAGTTCGAGACTACCACAAAAGAACGCGACTATCGAGCAAATCGCGAGTGAAAAGTGATAACTGGCAACCACTGATGAAAAGTACTTTACTGACTAAACTTGCTTGTAGAAGCGAAGTGATTGTACACAACCATTCAAATATACAAATCGAGATTTAGCACCGTTATATCGTTGGAAGATCCGTATATGAATCGACTGACTGTCCTAATGGTTAAGGCAAAGCCTGTCGGTTGTCCGCAAGCTCCCATCGTCCGTATCAACAGTAGCGGAACAGCGGTGAAACCGTTGACAGGTGCTTAGGCATTTACCCTCCAAGATTTTACAAAGATGAAAGCAACCTTTCAAGCAACTGTGCAAGCAAAACTACACCCCTTCAGGGAAAAAACATCATCCCACCCCATTCTCAAATTGTGCACAACCTGGTTAACATATTTGCTATTTGCCTTCCTCTCTCAACTCCTATCCCTTTCCGCACTGTTGAGTAACATACTACTTTTTCTAGACCGGTTAACCATCCTGCCTTTCCTCTCTCTCATGTCCATTACTTCCTTCAACCAGTCACACGAACTACCTTTTAAAACAAAGTTTTGTTTAAAAGGAGAAAAGAGCCGTGTGTGTGTGTGGGGGGGGGGGGGGGGGGGGGGGTCACGCATTCTCATTACGTGGCAATTGCTACCAACGCCCTGTTTATTAAAGATATGCGAATTACCAATGTCACACCAGTTTATATACGCTTTTCTACTACAGCGCCCCCACGATGGCTGCGGGTGCCCTCTGACGTTTCGGCTTTGCTCGGAAGCGAGGCCAAACTGTCCTGCCCTGTCGCCGGCTACCCGACTCCCAAAGTGACCTGGAGCAAGGTGACAGGTAGGTACGCGAGAAGACTGGTCGAGCCTGTATTCCCACCGGCTATCCCGTATTCAAAGCGACACTCCATTCATTAGCGCCCCGCGGGTGTTCCACGGGCATTGTCGCCCTACTTTATTATCGTTTGATACGAGTCCTTGGCTCTCTGTTAGTGAAGTCCCGGTAATGCTACATGGCGAAGCTGACCTCAATGTAAGACGACATCAATTATAAGTCAACCTGAACGTTTTCAATGGTCACAAAATTTGTCCTCGAATGCGAAAACAGGACACATAAAAAAAAGCAAATCGTACGTGCTAGCAACGTTCCGATCTAGACAAGCCCGAGGCTCGACGCACGGAACATGCGTTACATTGCACTGAAACAATGTGCTGCACTTAATCCCACTTTGTCAGCGTCCGGCCGCAAGCAAGCTTTGGAGAAACAAAATGAAAGAGAGAAACAGAAAGTCTAGCTGCTAGGTGCACGTACAACGCATGTGTATGGCGTACCATTACAGGAAACTACAGTACTGTGCGACTGCGGCGACAGCTATTGATGTGATGTCCAAATTGCAAACTTTGCCGTTAGCTTTAGCGGTATGCCACATTCTAACGACTGTAATCCGACCTAGAAGTGCCACAACTACGCTCTTACGGTAATGAGAACAATAAGGTAATGAGAGCAAAACAAGCAAACACAGACGCTAAGTAATGACACAAGGGCGTATAGCACGACTTTGATGACATTCCTCTATTCATCACGTCAAGATATTTTTGTTTATTCTTTTTCATAGTAGTTTAAATTATTACATTTTTCTAGTTATGCATGCCTTTATCTGGCTATTATGCATTTTACTCTGCACTAATATGTTTTCACTTGTCAATTGACTGTTTTCCTTTGCTGGTGGCCACACGTCGTACATTACGTTGGCCTGCTGACTAGTCAATCCGCCTCTGCGGAGCTATTTTGCTGTTGTCCTCCATCAAGCTTTATGTATATGGTGGGATTAATTTGATTTTAATAGCCGCAAGTAGCAATAACCACAATGCGAAGCAATACCACGCCATGTGACAACCTTTATTGACCCTCAGTTGCGCGCCTATACACACAGACTAAAAACCGGACAGCACAGCAATTCAGTTTACCGACAGCTACAGAGGAAAGTGTTCGCGGCCAACTATGCGGGCTCGATGTTATCGCAAGCGTGCTCTAGCAAACTCGCCGCGAACTGAGCAGTGTCGACGGCGCTTTTCAATTACAGATGGAAATCGGGCACGGCTGGAAGCGAGCCAATCCGTGACGCTCGATCCGGGCGGCGTCCTCGTGCTGCACAGCGTGCAGCCTGGAGACCGCGGGGTGTACCTGTGCGAGGCCGACAACGGAGTCGGGGAGCCCATCGCGAACAGAGTCAGGCTCGCGCTCAACGGTAAGGCGCCGGTGACGGATCGCCCGTCACTCGCGGCGGGGCACCGAGACGACGATCGCAGCAAGAAGGACGCTCATTACGACGGAAGCGACAATAAACGAGGCCTTTTACGCGCGTTTCGCTTTGCCGTGCTTCTTCTTGTTGGTTTTCGGATCTTGCACAAGCGTTCACTGATCACGCGCCGAAGGTGTCGTCAAGGAAGCTCGACCTTGCGTTGTTTGAGCGGCTGCGCACACGGGGCAGTTGTTCGTGAAGGCTAATGCGCAGTTTAGTAGGTTGATGAAAACCTCCGGCAAGTATACGATGGTTTTCCATTTACAACTAATGATTCAATCGCCACCAGGATATCCAGCTAGATTGCTTCGCTCGATTTGGCTAAGAAATCTTCAGCGTTCCCTTTTACTCTTGCTTTAGTGGATGCGAATAAACACTGCGTTTTTGCCAACGCCGCTACCACTAGAGCGAAGAACAAATATGTTGCTACACAAGTAGAGTAATTCAGCACAAGAAAAAAAAAAGCCTGCCCTTGCGGGATACTGAAGAATAGCAGGAACCAACCATCTTATTTTGCTGTATCGATGTACTGATCAGCCCTTCCCCTCCCCTCCATCTACGAAAGCTTTCTGTGCTAAACATGGTCTCGCACTGCGTCCAGTACCGCAGGCATGGCAACCTTTGTGCGCCTCACAATTTTTTGCACTGCCTCTGTAATCGGTCCACCCTATGGACAACAAATGTCATTCAATGACGTCATCACGTGGCGCCACACATTTTAAATATCTCCAACGTCATCAATCATGACGCCATCCGGTGACGTCATCGCATGATTTTTTTTTTTGCGTCGCTCTTCTTGACACCTGCGTTCAACTCACACGTTTGATGAGTGATCTAAAGTTTTCGCATTTAAGAAATTGAAACAGAAGGGAAAGGGGACGAATGTTAGCTGTCGTCCCAGTATGTATAGATAAACATGCGGAGAAAGAAGGCAAGTATTCACGGACGACTTATCAAACCACTTTCTCTTTTTCAGGTGACCAACAGGCGCTACAGAATTACCATTGAAGAAAAAAAAGCAAACTGACATTTTCTTAACGTGGCCAGGCGTATATTCGCGAGTGTACACGGCAAAATTTCCGTTCATTCCTGTAGCGACAATCTTGAGAATGCGGTAATAACAGGTGGCGCCATCTCGCTGTCCCTTTGACGCGCAGTGCCCGCGAGATTCGAAGAGAAGTCGACCGTGGTGACGGCGAGACGGACCGAGGTGACCCGGATGAAGTGCCAGGCCACGGGTGACCAGCCTCTCTCCATCGCCTGGTCAAAGGGCAGCGTCAAGCTGGACAAGAGAACCAGCGCCCGGTAATGACGCCCGAAATCCTCACACTTTTCACAAATACAAGTGAATTCACCTCTTTCAGCATCAAGTCTTCTTTTTTAGCATCATGTTTTAGCACCAGCTCTTCCTTTAGCATCCTATTTTCTGATCAAAGTTCTCGTCTTTTAGCATCATGAAGTGCAGTTACAATTCACGACTGCCTGTGTATTGTATAAACTGGTTCTTAGCCATCACGTTTCACGCGATAATTTGTATAAGCATTATTGTGCAGTGTGATAAAGAGTCTTAAACACACGACCACAGAATTTTTTTTTAGAAAACTGTCTTTTCAATCCTTAGTCTCGCTTTCAGTAATAATAATAAGTGGGGTTTCACGTCCTAAAATTACCACATGATTATAAAAGACACCGTAGAGGAGGACGCCAGAAATTTCGACCCCCTGGGGTACTTTAACGGGCACCCAAATCTGAGCACACGGCCCTACAGCATTTTCACCTCCGCAGAAAATGCACCCGCGGCAGCCGGAATTCGATCCCAAGAAGTGCGGGTCAGCAGCCTTGGTTTCCCTTTCGCTTAGTTCAGCAGCCTTAGTTTCCCTTAGTTTCCCTTTCGCTTAGTTCAGCAGCCTTAGTTTCCCTTATAGTTTCCCTTTCGCTTAGTTCAGCAGCCTTAGTTTCCCTTAGGTTCCCTTTCGCTCAGTTCAGCAGCCTTAGTCTCCCTTAGTTTCCCTTTCACAGAGCAGAAAACCAGAACCATCTCTTGCGGCAAACCTTACTACACGTTCCCCACTTATTCGCTATCTCTCGCTAATATCTCAGCAGTTAAGTTAGCTACCTTAATTCACGTAAAAAAGTGGCATGCGCGGGGTTTTCACAGCCACGCGTGCATCAAACAACGGCAATAAGTGTGGCACTGTTACGCCGCAAATCGCGCAGGTACGAGGTGTTCGAAACCTTGACTCCCGACGGTCTCATCTCGGAGCTTGTTATCCGGGACACGGACCGCAGCGACGGCGCCCTCTACACCTGCCACGCGCAAAACAAGTACGGCAAGGACGACCGCAAGGTCAAGCTCATCGTTCAAGGTGCGTGTGCCCGCATCACGTGGCTTCCTAGTGGACTTCATACGAAAACATTTGACGCAAGCTCACGCAATGTAAACTTGGGGGCGTGCACATTTGGCGGTAAAACGGCCCTCGCATTTAAAGTAGTTTAGATTTTTAAATTTAACGGGCGTAGACAAGGTGTATCCCCTTCAGAATACTTACTTTTGGCACACATATGAGAACGATCCTTGTTCAATAAGATGTGCCCAAACAGAAGTAAGGACAGAGAGAGGTCAGTGTTGTCCTAGTTTTTTTTTTGTGCACCTGTTTCTGCATTCGGTATTTTAAAGGGAATCCCTACTAACTAGCACAGCGTCCTACTACTAAAGTATGATTTAAAACTATATATCCATTTGTTCCGTTTGTAACGAGCTTGTAGTGCAAGAATTATAGGTAAGTATACGTTTATCACGAACTGGTTCAACAGGGTGACCAAGTTTATCGGGAAAACACAATATGCACATGACTACCAGACATGTTTACTGGTGCGTGAGTGAAACGTACATTGACAACAGCGCCGGACCCTCTATTAGGGAAACAGTTACCAATATCTCAACAACCTGTATTCAAAAACCGATAACAACATGTCAGACATCGAGCATAAAGGGAAAAAAAAAACTTCAATAGAGTCCTTCCACCAGCAGGTCCTGACACAGTTTTGACAAGCTGCAGCATTAACATATTCGACAAGATCCATGTTGCTTATCTTTGCCAAAGCTTTATATGAAGAGCAGCCCACATTTCCACGACCGCATGGCTGAGAACTGAATGTTAAATTCGCTTATGAGGCCAGGAGTGAAGAATTGTATCCGCTTAGAGAGCAACAGTTATTCAGGGCCATCACACAAATGTTAATGCATCAATTCTTCTCCTCCTTTCAAGATCATACGCCTTCAACATCATTTACAAAGCAGGCCGAAAATCTCTGATGCGTTCGCTTCGGGATGCTGTGTCATCCTGCTCTGGCACCAAGTAGCATTGCTCATCAACAATCAAAATTCTGTAAACGGACTACTTTTCCATTATGGTATACCACTCTAATTATTCACATCTTTCAACACATCTTGACGTTCTTTTATGCAAGCGAACGCTTTTAGAAGCACCTCGAATAGCTTCTTCATGAACGCTGCCATTCATAACAATTACCAACTGCATAAACTTATTCCAACGGAGATATGGTCGTCTTTGTCCGGTCAAGTTCTAATCAGGCTTTCGGCTCAGCTGAAAAATCAGTAATAAAACAGCTCAGCTGACAGTTCGAATACTAAATTGATTGATTGATTGATTGATTGATTGATTGATTGATTGTCATCCTCGAGCCCCAGCTACTGGGTAATCTGCTCAAAAATCGATAGTTACTTTTGCCATAGCTTACGCCATCGCCATCTCATAGTCTGAGGGCAGCGTGCAGCTTCGCGGGAACGCTGTGCACGGCTTTATGTCCATGTCACTAAATTCCCCATAGGTGGAGTTTCTGTACAAATGGCCTTATTTGTTGAAGTCGCGCTTCGAATTGCATCTATTACTCCTAATGCACTGAAAGACACTTCTATTGAACCTTCTATAGTAAATTTGGCATCAGACACCTGACCAGGTAGGAACACAGGCAGGAGTTCATCATGTGTTACTGCACGTACGTGCCTTTTTGCTAAACGTTTGCTATTCATGCTGAAGATGCCCCAACTGGCTCAAGAGCGACAACTAATATCATTGGGCCTCTCTCGGTTCCCAGAGGTCCCAGGTCCTCCACAGGATGTGCGCCTAAAGGACGTCTGGAGCCGGTCGGCCAGCGTGTCCTGGTCGCCATCGTACAGTGGCAACAGCCCCATCTCAAAGTACATTGTCCAGTACTGGCGAGACCACGGTACGTGACATCAGCGACGACACGGGCAGTGTCACCAAATCTTCGCACTCACTGCTGACAGTGACTTTCCAGATACACAGTTTCCAAGCCTAATATTCATCTGAAACGCTAAAAAAAAAAAACATGCCCAGTGCTTTAGGCACTGCCACCTGTAGTTCAATCACACTCTCTTTTTTGGAGAGTCATCGGCCACAGTTCATCCCAGTCAGAAATCTTGAAGCACATTCGTTCACCATGTACACGTCACTTAAAATATTCAAAAAATAAATCTATCCAGATTCTCAATACAAAAGACATCGGGTCACCCAAACAATCTTAACTGCACAATGGTGTGTTGCGGTGAGAAGCCATAGAGAAATATAGCACAGAAAAGTAAACGGCATAATCGTCTCTACTCAGTTCGAGTGTAGGCCTAAAAGAAAACGTTTTCATTAACATGCACACTGCGACGACATCGTTCGGAGTGTCTGGTCTTTTTTAACCACGGTTGCATAGAGACATGATGTTGGTCATCACGCCGCGTAAGGTTTTTGTTTCCTTGACAACCAAAGACTCCGGTTCCTTCAAGCTCACATTTGATCTGTCAAAAACACCTGTTGGCTATGCTGTTAGGCTGCGCCCTCCCAAGACTGAAAGTTCACATTCCAATAGCAAGAACTGCATTACCAAAGAAGAAAGAATGCAAACATTTGCCTAATGGTAATTATGTATCGAAAAAGAAAGCAACTCCATTTGAGGAAATCTATTCGGACTATCTACTGCTGTTATGGAACGTAAATGTACGAAATTTAACTGTATACTGCCCGAGTTTTTTTTTTTTACAAGTTGTTGCGCATCCTTACCTATAACCTCTAGTAGATTACCTTACATAAGAGAAGAGTTGGCGGTATACATACGTCAATGCACCAATAAGCAAAATATTAGAAGCCTTCGTCGCGCTAAGAAAACATTCGTGAAAATAAACACCAACACAGCTTTAAAACTTTATGCTACACTCATCATTTTTTTATGTCCCCCGAGATAAGCACGCGGGGAGGGAGGGGTTGGGGAATCTTTCCGTTTTCTGCTGCTCCCGACAAGCAGTCTCTTCAAAAAATGTTTCCCAGGCGGCGACGACGGCAACGATAACCTCTACGCTAAATCAGAGCGGATAAGGTCTACAATCGCCTCGCCCTCGTCGTGGCCTTTGAAGGAGACGCTCTCCAGAAAGCCAGACCTTTCCCACACATGGCTGAAGGGGGGCAACATCCATTGTCGCCAGTACAGCAGCCACCACGCCGGCAGTTTCACGTGGTATGAACGTAAACACCACGGGAAAAAGAAAAAAAAAAACGCTGGCACCGTTATTTTTCGTTCACGTGAACACAAACCACACACAGAGAGATCGACTCTTCGTCGTCGTCGCCTTTGCTCCTTTGCCGCATGCCACACATGTGTCCAAAGATAGTCGCCCCCTCCAGTTTATTTCTTCTGGTGTACAGAGAATCAGGGGTGGGTGAGTGAAGGGAAGAGGAGGGAGAAACTCCTCGAAGGTATCACCCCTTATCGACACGACCACCGCAGACCATACCGGGTGATAAAAAGACGTTTAGATTGTTCCTAGCGCCTTCGCTTTCGGCGATCCTAAGCTTCCATGGCAAAGTGCGCGGGAAGGGGGGGTGCGAATAAATAAAGGCCCCGAAAGAAGAAGCGACAGAACCAGAAGCGCACCGAAGTATCGCGGAACAGACCGCACCCTTTGTCGGCAGTGTCTCTGCTGCAACCCCCTCCAGAGTGGTCGGAAATAATCGCGGTCCCAGCCGCTCGCCACCTCGTTCGGGTGCTCGTATAAACCGAGACAGTCAGTGACCCCGCTTCCGCCTCGGTTCCGGCAGTGTTGGCTTCGCTTTGAGAATAAGTTTAACGGGTCTACGCACGTGGAGGGCGCCACATAAAATTAAACCTTTGTAAAAATGCACAGGCGTGGGCAGACGCAAGGTTAACAAATGCAGCCGTGTCACAACGTGGAGAGCTTCCTGTGTGGCTGCGGAAGACTGGTGCACCTACACCCGTTTCGAAACTCCAAAGCTTTCAATTCGAACACGCAGATTGCCGAGGAGTCGGAGAATGAACCCCTATACTCTAGTTTATACTCGTCTTTAAGTCATCTTCGGCGGTATCGAAACATTCACGAGTTATTACACGTACCCGCGCAGCACAGTATGTGTGCAGTGACTCATTGTAGTACGTGCACCACAGTCGCCTATCATCATACCTCTCTCTTTGTCTCCCATTTTTACGTTACCTAACGTGAGGAATTAGAGGGCTAGACACTTTCTCTCCGGGCCAAACTCTCCACCTTTCTCTTCATTAAACATAAACATTACCTTCTTCTATAACTCCGAATTTGGTATACCAGTTGAAGGTCCACAACTATTATCCGATTTGGGGTGTAAGCGAGGTTCAGACAGTACAAAAACTAGCCCAGGAAGAAGTTATCCAGAAGTTCATCTACACGTTTCGGTCATTAATGGGCACGATTCGTGTATTCCTTAACAACTGACACGACACCGCTGCACAAAGTACGATTTATGAACTGGGCACACAAAGTGCTGCATTGGCCTCACTTGAGCAGGACAATTTTCCTCAAACTATAGCAAGATCACTCCATGCTTAGAAAAGCCAAAAGCGGCGTCAGCGATCATCAGGACACAAGATCACGCTGTAAAAACGGATATCTGGTTGGAAGTATGACTGCACACTTCAACACGTGTTTTTTTTTTTTAACTTTGACCACACATAGCACTCATATTGAACATTCGATCCTTATCTCACTTTACCCTTGCACTCCCCTTCCGCCAGCGCAGGGTAGCAAGCCACATACAGCGATTTGATTAACTTGCCTAGACTATCCCTCCCGCCGAGGTATCTCACTTTTTTTTAGAATAACGTTTTATTAGCCACGTACGACCATGCATTCTCACAGAAGTAAGCTGGGCCGGAGCTATCAGCACTGCTCAAAAACTGTCCAGTCACACACACACACATCAGCCCCCTCTCAGCTGACACCTCTCGCTTATCAAAAGTATGGTAGATTCGATTCGGCCCGACACAGTACACTTTGAATGTTCTTCTTCATTACCAGACGTAATTATTATCTTTTTCAAGACGAAGTGACGGCTCATGTCACACCAAGCTGAGTATGTTGACCTTTCCGAGTGTTCTTATTAACATCCTTCAAAATCATCGGTGTCGCTGAACAAAATATCAAACAATATAAACATACATGTTGGTCCAAACAGTTACGCCTTATGACAGTGTGTGTTGCCTTATGGCTTCCCAACACCAATACTGTAATCTGTTCTTCAGCTATACGTTTTAAAGACTCATCGTCAGCATACCGCACTAAAGGAGTGAATCAATGCACACCAAGCCTGCCACAATGTTCTGAAATGAGTAGTTAAACGGCAGCACGTGACCAAGTCTAGTTTGAATATGAAATTCCATAGTGACAGCTTCAGCTATATCTTCTATGCTATCATGTTGCATTGCTTATTGTCAATGACATCGCTTGTGTTGGCGTTCACAGGCACCGCGCACAGGTTGCACGAACTGGAGGTGATCGGCTCGCTGACGTACACCATGGTGCGCGACCTGCTTCCAGGCACCGCCTACGTCCTCAACCTCGTCGCCGAGAACGCCATCGGCCGCGGCGAACCATCAAGAACCGTCGTCTTCCACACCGGCGAAGAAGGTACAATCATAACACGTGTAGCCGGGGTCGACCAACAGACAGTCTTAGTTTCGTCAATGTGAGTTGGGTCAATGGATGCCGTGCCAGCTGCTCACAGTTGTTAATTAAGAGTATAATTACTGATGCTGCAAGTATGCCCCTACACAAGACGCTAGACTGTAGGAAACATTCTACCGCCCGTATTAGCTTGACGGCGCATGTGTAGCGCACTGTTCGAGGACGCAGGCTCGATTCCCGTAAATATGGCTGCCACGTACAAATAAACGCACAGTAAACAAAAAATGTGCACTTATATTTGGGTTGCACGTTAACGAATACCATAAGTTCAAAACAAAACTTAAGTCATCCCATTGCGGCGTGCCTAATAGCAGTGTCGAGGTCATGACACGCGAATCCCCGGAACTTACATTTTTGCATAAATATATTCTGGTTTATCACCGATACTCCACATTCGTACGTCATCACTCATGCAATTCTTTTTTCCGTGCACCATTCTCTTATGCAGAGCCGGAAGCAGCTCCTGTCGATATCCTTGTGGAGATGAAGGGGCCCTCGACTGTGTACATATCTTGGAAGGCAAGCACCGTTTCGTCACTTCATACTTTCGCGCTTTCATGTCGACCACTTTCCAAGAATGTGCAGGCAACGCGTCCTAGAATAATGACAATCGCTTTGAGCTCTTGGCTACTCTCCCTCCTAACCAGGAATTACGACGAGCGTCGAGAACAAAAGTTGCCATCCTCCCTCAAATCCGTCTCGCGGCATTACAGACCAAACCATGCAACGAATGAGCTGTAGTAGACACCACTGCTTATATTACGAGCTAAAAACGTGGAAATGTGAAAACCGTGACCCGATGAAGCAAAGATGCAGACACATGAACGCGCAGATGCATCCGATGACTACCAGTTCACTGCAGCCACTTCTAGTGCGCCCAACCTGTTTCCGCCGGCAGGGTATAAACTTATCCAGTTGCACCAGTGTAACGCAAGGATACATTCTGTCCAATGGCATTGTTTTCTCACAATCCGCCGTTAATGTGCGGTGATAACGTACGCAGTCTGCCACTCGGACCACTCACGAACCGAGAAAGGGCATTGTACTGGAACAGAATCGTCCCGCTGTATACGGATCACACATTATGCCCATAACGTCGTTACTGCATCATGCCCCCTTGCGTGCAAGGATAACTTATTAGCATAGTTTAATTTGGCTCATCAAACACGAAAAGTGGCGACCGTCGGTGTCCGCGACAAGTGATACAAAAATAATCACGGGATGACGCCACCATGTGACGTCATCTTAACGTCACACTTGCGATGACGTCACAAGTGTGACGTGAACAGTTTGTGACGTCACATGTGTCATGTGATGATGACACGTGTTCGCATCATCACATGACACCATCACTTGGTCATCCCGGAGGCACTGCCAAACCAAGTTCGGTGCACAAAATTTTCGTAGGGGGAGATAGGAGTGAATACGAGCGGCTGAGAAGAAAACCATGATTTTCGCATTCGAGTCGTCTTAAGCAAATGCATAAGGGACCATGTGACATTTAGAAAGCTGATGATCTCGTAAATAAAGATGTACTGCGTCTAAGAGTGTACCGCCTGGCTACAATGTGCGCAGGCACCACCGAGGGAGCACTGGAACGGTCACCTGCTGGGCTACTACATCGGCTACCGGCCCAGGGACACGGAGTCGCAGTTCTCGTACCGGCGCGTGGAGGCATCGGCGAACAACGCCAGCCACGAGTACCTGCTCGGAGGACTGCAGCGAGGCACCGAGTACACGCTCGTGCTCAAGGCGTACAACGGCGCCGGGTCCGGACCGGCCTCGCAGGAGAAGACTGTGCGCACCATGGACGGAGGTGAGATGCGCAGTACGCACGCATGTCAACACTGTGTCACACCATAGGCACACTGCGGACACCAGTGCTCTCGGGTCCTCACACTGGCGTTGCGTTCTACCACTACACCGTTCGCGATACCGTGCACAACGCCGCGCACGACACCGTACATGAAAACGTCCAGTGCAAGACACCGTGCATGACACCGTCCACGGTAGTGTTCACTATACCGCCTACGATACCGCCTAAGATACCGCCTACGGTACCGCCTATGATACCACCTACGATACCGCCTACGATACCGCCTACGATACCGCTTACGATACCGCTTACGATACCGCTTACGATACCACCTACGATGCTGCCTACTATGCTTCCTACGATACAGTCGCTTTCAAGTAAGCCAAACCAACCCACAAGCTGGAAATTTCTGCTCGAACGATACCGACAAGACGAAAAACGACTGGGAGACGTTCCTCTACAGAGCTCTTTTACCCGCACTCATACGGAGCACGATCCCCGATAACTCCTCAGCTTGATGAAGCAGCAAGAAAAACAAAAGACGTACACCAACAAAGCGTTAAGAAATTAAACATCACAAAATAGCGAAAATTAAATAGCAAGAAGGAAGAAAGTTTGGTGTAACGAGCACTGCAGCCAATGCTTTGAAAAAAAGAAAGACGTTTAAAAGGAAGCTAAAAAGAAATAATGAATCGGCTTACACAGATAAATTGTACTCTATGAACTCTAATGTCGTTATTTGCACCATCTTAGGTTTATTATTACAGGAAAAAATTAATTTTAAAGTTTTATTAATAAATATCACACCGAAATCTCCACGCGTGATGTCGACCAAAGTGTAATGCTCGTGTTAGGACACCATTAACTCTAAAAAAATTTCTCAGACTTGGCATGTTAATTCTCGTACTTTATTTTCACTAATTATGAATTACGCAGGCCCTAGTACACGCCGTTAAAATGTGACGCCACGGCGATTGGTGCGGAAACTTCAAGGTAGCAAACTTCATAGTTTCTTTTTGAACGTTTTCACACCTACTAGGCGTCTTCTCGTCGCAAGCATGGTGTTTTTGGTATCAGGAAAGAGTGATTCACTGATACCAGAAAAATCACTTTGCTCTTTAGTGTCCCTTTAAATTGGGGCATTGCCTACGCCCAATCGCGATTGAGTGACCTCTTTATTTTCACACTCATAACATTATTATTATTATTATTATTATTATTATTATTATTATTATTATTATTATTATTATTATTATTATTATTATTATTATTATTATTTAAACAAAATGGCGGCACAGAAATAGGGCGTCGGCTAGTCGTCAGCTCTTGATTGGACCAAGCATACAATAAATAATAAACAAACAAGTAGATCAGCACACATACGGGCCAAAGAAATATTAATCGTTTAAAATGCTAGTAGGAACACGCGAGCGTAAACTATGCCATGTACGGCCAAACACCAGCGCTGCATTTATAACATTTCAGAATGCTTCATCTATAATGACATCAGGCTCATTTACCGTGTCTTACCCTTATCTCTCTTTTCTATTTCAATCCACTTTCCCATCCGTATCCTTTCTCGCTTGCTTTTCAATTTACCGTCATCGAAGGCTCAAAACAAATCTTCCCACCCGTATAAGCATAGCTATGGATCACGTAGCCGATATCCGCTAGCCCTACCAAAGCGCGACGTCTGCAATTATTATGCATGTATAATATTTTGCGAAGTCAAATTAATGTCTTTTTTTTTCACCTTTTATATTCTGTTTATGTCCTGCTACGAGGCCTCCTGGCAGTTGCAATCAAAACGAGCATGTCAATGTGCGTAGAATTTTTTTTTTGCATTCCTTCTTTAATAGGTACGAGGGTAGTGTTATGTCCCCATATATGCGGCGGCTTGCGCGCTCTCAACCAACCACAACCATGCGCTCGATAGGACCCAGGGTTTGTACATATGAGCCACATGCACATCTGAGCCACATTCACTGCCGCCCCGCTCAGTTTCCATTTTATGCGCTTCATTTTTCCCTTGATGACAACATCCCCCGCAGTGAGGTACACAGCTGCTGAAACATTCCCGCAGATATACTGCCACGCTTAGCGTGGCGTAAGCGAATCTGTCAGCGTATGGCTCTCGACCTGAGCCCTACCATTAATCACACACTTAGCGACCCACTGCATTCAGCTAACGATATCTCATATTACAAAAGTTCAATGTCATGAACACATGCTCTGGCAGTGCACCAATTTCGCTCATATATCGCACATCACCTCTGCCAGATGGGAGGCGGCAATCCGCAGCACGTCCTTGGCAGATCAGCTCTGGGCTGTCCACCAAGCCCGCGAGGCGGCTGAGGAGCTTGGCATCTCAGTCCCCACGTGAGAGCTGCCCGCAACACAGTGATCTGTGTTTTGGAGGACCAAATAAAAGTTTATCCAATCCAATCCAATACTTTAAGCTTTGCCGAAATGAGAGCTTGGAACCATGCGCAATAAGACACGTGTGTGCGTGTGCGTGCGTGCGTGCGTGCGTGTGTGTGCGTGTGTGTGTGTGTGTGCGTGTGTGTGTGTGTGTGTGTCTGTGTGTGTGCGTGTGTATGTCTGTGTGTGTGCGTGTGTGTGTGTGCGTGTGCGTGTTTCTTTATTTAAAGTAGCATTCCATTTGTAACACATCATTACTCCCCTAAACATATCGCTACAGCATGGGCCGACACTCACGCAATAAGACCACTCTGCTGTTGTGAAAACAATGGTTTTAAATTATTTATCAGATCCCAGTATGGCAGAGAAACTCGACTGAAAGTATTGTCTTTGGCTGATTGATATGTGAGGTTTAACGTCCCAAAACCACAATATGATCACGAGAGACGCCGTAGTGGAGCGCTCCGGAAATTTCAACCACCTGGTGTTCTTTAACGTGCGCCCAAATCTGGGCACACGGGCCTACAGCATTTTTGCCTGCCTCGGAGATGCAGCCGCCGCAGCCGGGATTCGATCCCGTGACCTGCGGGTCCGCAGCCGAGTATCTTAGCCACTACACCACCACGGCGGGGCTGAAAAGATTGTCTATATCCGAGGTATCTAGCAGACAATCCACAGATATTGTTCTCGCACATAAGCAGACGTTAACAGCACCACAAAAGTCGATGACAGCTCGAAAGACATGTTAGAAAAAAACAATGTGTCGCATACAAGCATATATAACGCATCTACTGATCAAACCACCAGGCTGACGCTTCGCAAAGAACTCCGCAAAAGTGAAATGCTCGTAATGAGGTCAACCTATAGTCACGTATTGCACTGCGTTTCTCACCGCGTGGCGCACGTACGATAACACGCTACCTTGTTTTCGTTTCCGCTAACCCCACAGGAGCACGTAAGCGCGCAGCACGAGACTTCGCCTCCACAACCGGCTCTCAGCCTCCCCCACTCATCCGCCCCGTTATCTTCAAGCAACGACTGCGTACGTGACGCAGAGTGGCGCCCGTACACAGCAGCGCACGTGCAAAACAAAAAAAAAAAACAATGAAGAGGCCTCACGCAAGCTGTGCTTGCGCGCTAGACGCAAATATATCCCCACTACCGGCCTCCGCAGTGTAGTACAGCGCGGCGGGTCCGTGCAAACAAGCCAAGTGGCTAGCGCGAGTTAAAGAAAAGAAAAAAGAAAGGCGCGATGAAAACCGAAAGAAAAATGACGCGAACTGGCGACCAGGAACGGGAGCCGATCGCGGAGAAAGTTAAGAATACTACGAGAAGCGATGAAGGAGATGAGAAGAAGGAGGCCTTCTTTTTCTCCAAGCGTTGCTCGTCCGCCAGGCGTCCTGCCCGTGAGACCGGACGCCGACGAAACAGTGGGAAAAGCGTGCGCGCGTGTACGACGCGAACCGACGGTGCCTTCTCGTACCTATCGCTTTCGTAGTTGTTCATTGCCGATGCGGACATGCCACTAATTGCCGGAACCACCACAAGCGTCGCCGACGTCGCTTCGTTCGAGACGGCGTGCGCGATGCGGCTGATCCGCGAGTCGAGGGAACGGACAGGCGGAAACAGTTTGCTTCGGCGTAGAAGCTGTAATTATTTCTTTTGCCTCCGCCCCTTCTCACGCCGTCTCGCGTCGTCGTCGTGCTTGGACGTGAACGTGAAGGACGGACTGAAGCCTTAAAGCACGCAACATGACAACGAGATGACGCGGCATGAATCATACGAGCGCAGCTCGTTTTTTTTTTTTTTTTTCTCTTGCTGTCCTCTTTAACCTTCAATCACGTCGTATACAAACGTGCCCAAAGAGTCGCGTCAGTGACACCAACAAGGCCACACGAAAAATACTGAAGTGAGTGGGGCTAAGGTGCAAGCCAATACATATTGAAATCATGTATAGTTGATGTCGAAGCGCTACCCCCTCCCCCGTCACCTACGCCCACTGTAAGCGTACAAAACGAACGAAAAAAACACACTGTGCTAAGGGCAACCACGGAACTTATAACCTACGGTGTCACAGCCTTTCTCGCACAACGCGCACAAAATCAGCTACGAGCCAACACTGTAACATTTGCCACCACAGTAAATTGCGAAATAAATGTTTATCGTTCCACGGCCCTACTGGTTTAACGTGTACGAAGAAGAAAGAAGCTGAAATGCTTGTGTGGATGTACAAAAATATCCAACGTAGCAATTTCATCGTGAAAAAAAAAAGAGTACAGATCCAGGAACATCCTGCACCGGCACAGAAGCACGTATGATAGGCTATGATAAAGTGTACTGCAGATTTTTACTAGATGTAGGATGAAAACGTACTCTACAGAGAGCAAAGAAAAGAAGGTGTAAAACAAGCGCCGGCGCCTAGGCCTCCCCTTCTTTATTTTAAATCCAGGTGCTTGCGAAATAAATACAGATTACACCTTTACAAAGTGCAGGTATTTGGCAAGCTATCATGGAAACTGTGATTAGAATTTCTATTACGTGTGCTTGGACGCAACTTCGTCACATTGCTTCCGCTATTCCTTACCATCGTGCTATCAAACTAGATGGACTGTCAGCCAAGAAACCTGCTGCAACTAACCTGCCACACTATGTCACGTTTCCGTACGCAGATGTCCCCGAAGCACCGAGGCTATTCGTGACGGGAGTCACCGCCGACACCATGACGCTCCGGTGGGTCACCAGGTCCAGCAGCGACGTTACCGGTAAGAACTGCGAAAGAGATAAAACACATTCTTCAATGGGCATGTAGAGACAACACCCTCTCAACAGCACCCTCTCTTATTGCTAACCACTGCTACTACGGGAAACTCTCAATCCAGGTGACAAGGCGTTGCCTGCTATACGAACTCGCACATGCGCAAAATGCCGAATTCATTCAAGCCGTGCGCAGCAGAAACACGAAGCGACGTAAAAGGCAGTGTACAAAGTTATAACTAAAGAAATCGTGGCCACAAGAGGTTTACAGAGTTTCCACACGCGTTGAAAGTCTTTCGTCTTTTTCTTTCGTTCTTTCTTTCTTTCAAGAAAGAAAGAAAGAAAGAAAGAAAGAAAGAAAGAAAGAAAGAAAGAAAGAAAGAAAGAAAGAAAGAAAGAAAGAAAGAAAGAAAGAAAGAAAGAATATTTGGCATATTCCAGTCATGCTCCTTACTTTTTAAGACAGATGCTTAGGCTAGTTGGTGATCGGGAATCAACATATTTGCACAGCGCAAGACTACGAGTAGTTACGACGTAACTACAGAAGAAGAGACAAGGACAGAAAGAGCGTTACGAGTAGTTACGTCGAAACTACTCGTAGTCTTGCGCTGTGCAAATATGTTGATTCCTTACTTTTCTTGTTCATATTCGCACGTGCAATAAACTGTATCACTGTTATATTACCATGATTATTACAAAAACTGAATGGTGAAAATAAACACCTGAGTAATATGCACACGAACAGGACTGCTCATAGAAACTATTTAAACTGACCATGAGACGGCCTCCTTCAACAGAGACCTGTAAAACGTGTCCGCACACAAACAATGTGCGACAACGAAATCGCGATTCTGCTCAGAAATTTTTAAATACACAAACACCCACCTACATAACAAACGAAACACACCACGATTCTGCCAAACGATATGTGTTTGTCTTTCCTATCCCGCTGCAGGTTTCAACATCCACTACCGGCAAGAAGGCGGCACGTGGCTGGAACTCCCGATCGTGAACACGGCCAACAACACGTACACGCTGACCAACCTGCATCCGGGTTACGTGTACCAAGTGTACGTGACAGCATCCAACGTGCTTGGACGTGGGGATCCAAGCGTCATACTTCTGGTTAGGACAGAGAGATCTGGTAAGCAAAGGCCAGCCTGTACGTCTCGCTATCATATCCGGTCATACAGTTAATGGTAAGCTGTGGTACACTTGTGACCAAGCCACCAGATATTTTTTCATGGTTGGTTCGGTTATGGAGTACAGGTTGATAAAGCTATTTAGTTAGAACGGTAATAAGGTATCAATTTGGGCGAGTCGGAATATACTCATGATGACCTGAGCAAACAAAGTTCACGACAAGAAAAAAGTGCACGACACAAGTGCCTTGTGTTGCATGTACTTACTTCTTGTCCCAAGTCTTGTTTGTGCTTCTTATAATAACTATATAGTTTCTCCGGAAACACATTCGCTTTTGCCGATTCACCAAATGACTGAAACTGCACGTAAGGTACCGTTGACGTACTTTAACGTTAACACTCTCACTTTCATAATATATGTAACTATTTTATCCTGAACTTATAATAGACTCAAACTGAATTAGTCTCCGTGCATTATTAACTCATACGCGATGTGAACGCAGCGTCGGGACACGAAAGCTCAGCCATAGAGAACAAGCAGGCGGATGACGAGGTGCCCATCTACATGGACATGGCGATCATTATCCCGGCGGGCGCCATCCTACTGGCCGTGCTCGTCATACTCTTCAGCACGTGCATCTGCATCCGAAAGATGAAGAGCACGCCCAGACCAGTACCTGGTAAGAATTAGTCTCGTAATAATGAGTTTTTACTGCGTATAGCACTGCCACTAATACCCGTTGAGAACTGGTTGCGTCCTAATAAGTTTATACTGTGCGACGGAATCCGGTGACGCACCGACAGCCAAGATCCATACGTTAAATACACAATAAAATGTGGTGAATATAAACGTCATCTTAAGTAAAGTGCCTGCGCGTCGTCCGAGGGCCTCAAATTAAACCATAATACGTAAACTTTAGCCAGATACTGAAGGAGATATACAACACTCGCTAACGGTTCAGCGCCAATCGCACAGTGTTGAAGGGTTAGCCGAAAGTTTCAAACCTTTTCCCAGTACCACGCACCCAAACCGAGATGCTGATAGCAACAAGCATTTGAAAGTGCGTGTCCCAAGCCCTCGCTTCAGGCGTCCCCTCTTATCCTAACAAGCTCAATCCATCCCAACGCCGTTCGGATTGTTTGCGACATGCCTGATACTCGTATTTACGTGTCCAACGCGGTCTTTTGCACAATGGAATTTAGCACTACGCCACACATACCACCTTTCGCAGCACGACTTTATTATTATATGTCCCTAATATTAAAGTTTATCACTGTCCCATTAGCGCATTCGGAATACCGAATACAGTGCAGTTGATGAGTGTTGTTTTCAGCGTCAATAAGGCAGAGGTTCTATTCCGATCGGTGTCTCTTCGCATGATATTTGTTTTCAGCAACTCAAGCCATTCTCTCTGTAATGTAACCGACTGTGTGTATTCGATCAAAAGAAGTACATTCAGCGGACCAGTCAGCGTCGGTAACGCGAGAAGAACGGCAGATGTACGTTTATGCTGATAAGGATGCCTTTACGACCACGTGCTACGTATGTGCCTTAGTAAAAAAAAAAAAAAAGCTAGCTTTACTAGCGCCTGAAGCGCACGTGCACTTGTAGATGTAGACTTCTGATAGTAGTACTTTCAACAGAAAAGCCGGCTTTACAAGTACCTGCTACGCACGTGCATGAGCAGATGCAGGCTTCGCCTGACAAGTATACTGTTCGCAGCAACAAGCCACATCTTCGTACGTGCATGTTCAGAAGCAGGCTTCGCCTGACAAATATACCTTTAGCAGAAAAGCCAGCTTTACAGGCACCTGCTACGTACGTGTATGTGTACATGCAGGCTTCGCCTGACAAATATATCTTTAGCAGAATAGCCAGCTTTACAGGCATCTGTTACGTACGTGCATGAGCAGATGGAGGCTTCGCCTGACAAAGATACCTTTAGCAGAATAGCCAACTTTACAGGCATCTGTTACGTACGTGCATGAGCAGATGCACGCTTCGCCTGACAAATATACTTTTAGCAGAATAGGCAGCTTTACAGGCATCTGTTACATACGTGCATAAGCAAATGCAGGCTTCGCCTGACAAAGATACCTTTAGCAGAAGAGCCAGCTTTACAGGCAGCTGCTGCATTCGTGCATGCGCAGCTGTAGGCTTCTTCTGAAAAGGGCACTTCTTTACGGGCATCTCCAGCGCACGTGCCAGTATATTCAAAACCACACAGAAGATTGCACGTATACAAACAAAGTCGGTAAAACAATAAACCACTAAATTAGTTCATTCATTGAACTTTTTATAAGGAACGATAAAGCAGAGCACAAGAAATCGAAATAGAAGCTAAAAGCTGTATTAGATTCAAGGAACTTTTCCGTTGACGTTATGACAAATGAAAAGCATCAGATATAACGAAAAAATAGATATGTCAAATTTGATATTTTAAAAAAGAAAGTGGAATTAAGAGCCGCCTAAGCAAGCGCACAAAGGTAAATAAAGAAAAATAAAGAAAATGTTGCGAAAATATCCTCGTCCAAACTGTGCTGGAGAGATAACCCGCCGCATTGCTGATAAAAATACTAGCCCACCTGCGCCAATTATGTTACGCATAAACTGCACAGCTAGGATACGTGCCGTTTATGTTATGCTACGAACATTAGAGGGCAGAACAAGCGGCTTTTCTCCCTACATAGTCTTTCCTCTGGATTGCACAGGATCCAACGAGCGGTGCGTATAGTACAGCGTTAAATTTCTGGTTGACTCAGCTCTAACGCTCATGCGCATTTGCCTTTGCTTTCAGAGATAATGAGGTACGACCCAGCTACTCTGAATACTGGGACCATGATGTCTCAAAGGTACGTGGAGATGGAGAAGATGTCCGAGCAGGACGTCCCATTCGCCACTCCCTACGAAGGAGGCACCATGCGAAACGGGACTGAGCTGCGGGGAACACTCAAGGAACGCCAAGAGATGAAGACCTACGTGCCCAAGGTGAGAGGCCACAGCTCATAGTACTGAAAACAACATTTGTAAAATCCGCAGACTTCGTTCGAATATTAACCGGGTTTTAAAGACAAATACGCCCGGAGAGTTAAAGCAGCGCGTCTGAACGCTGCAGTTCATTCCAGCTAATAAAAAGGCCCACTCCTCGTGCCACGCGCCAACTCTCGCTCTTCTTCTCTTTTTTTTTTTCTTCTAGCCCGCGCTATGTTCCCTTTTCTTAACAATATTAAGGGCCGGGTTCACAGACTAACCTCATCTTTATCTGACGTTTTCCTCATGTTCCTATAGTGCGTTTTATAAACAGAGTACGCCAGTGTTCAAATATAAATATTGTAGTTATATTTAACACTGTTTATTTTTGTGCACTTATAACGTACATTGCTTGTACAGAAACTTAAGAAGGGCATAAGATAAGGATAAAGTTGGCTTGCGGATACAGGCCTAGAACTCATGGGGACCATTATTCTACCACCTAAAACAACTCGAAGGCCAAATGCATCATCTTCTTTTCAATATCTGTTGTGACCTCCTAGAGACAAGTTGTTAGATACAGGTAAATAACTAATGCCACTCTCCTGTCTAAACATACCTTTCTTTTTTCTCCGTTTATATGAATGTAGAAGCCTTTGTTAGATGTCCGAGACTATTTATAACACGTAAACTGTGCGCGATTGGCGCTCTCCTTTACTGAATGAGTCTTACAGGTGTGGAGGAAACGGTCTATGGCTTTAGGATCATGCATTCATTACCATCCTCATAATTTTCTTTTTCGTTTCACAACTGCAGTTCATTTCAGCTAAACACAGGCAGTCAGATGGCACCCTATTAACACATGTTCACGAAAACCAAGTACTTCACCATTCTATCGGTGTTTTATAACACGGACGAACGAACGACAGCGTCACTGCAAGACACGTAATCCAGGTAAATATGACGTCCCGCGAATAGTACTGGCGAAGTGTGAAACGTCCTACGCCTTATAAAATTTGTCTATAAAGACGCAGAACTTAGCCACCAAGCAAAACATAAGGCGCGGCCCCGGACTCATAGCGTACGCATGTTCGCGTTGAGAACGTGCGCCAGCTGTCGTGTCAGGCGTGTCACATCGCTCTCCGTTTCCATCGCAGAACCCGATGAAGGACCGGCCGCTTCCTCATCCGGAACACTCTCCGCTGCGGATGGACGAAACTTACTACGACAGCGCGCAGTGATCGTCTCCCCGACGCGACGACAAGGGACCCGAAATAGACGCGGTCCCCTCCTGCTCGAACAAGCACGACAAACTGCGGGTCAGAGACGCGTGATCAAGACGTCTCCCCGAAGTCGCCGTCAATGAGCTCCGTGATGACAAACGCCGGACCTCGACCTTCTTGGTGCGTGCAAGGAGGCGACAACGCGACCAGAGATCGGGGCTACAGCCCGTGGTGGCGCTGGCCCTCGTGCTCAAGAGACGTGCAAGCTGAATGGGCACGTCTAATGTGTTTGTGTGTGTGTGCGTGTGTGCGTGCATGCGGAGAAAACACAGCGTCGTCCCAGAGTGGCAAACTTATCTTCGCCTCGTGTGGAACAGCGCGTGTGCTTCCGCTCTCAGTCCCTTCGCCGTATGTCCTACAAAGTGGCACCTTGAATGCTCCCCATCTTCCCTCCCCCATTTTTGGCACGGGATCGGCGGTGTGCTGTGCCGCGTCTGGCATGCGGTATATAGGTTGTCGAGGAAGTGTAGCAACTGGTACGCGAACATTAACGGTTCAGTTACAAATGGTAAATTACTTGACCTTTAGGAAAGATCATGTTCCTACTTTGGCTGGGTAGAAACACTTCGTTCCGTACTGATGTCCCAAGGTGTAAACGTGTATCTGCTTCTAGAATGATGATGCGGCGATATCATTGACGGGCGGTTCACAAATGTATCCTTATATTGCTACTAATTAGCTTTCACTGGACGTTGTGTCTCGTCTGCGAAGCAAAGAATTACGCTGGAGCCAACGCTCTGGTAACAGAACTTTTCTATGTCTGACATGATCTTCAGTGACTCAGCCATCGTCCCGACAAAGATTGATCTCATTGCCGGAACACTATATACAGTGCCATTCCCTGTTCGAGTCGCTGCTGCTGCTCGCTTGAAGCTCCAATATTCCGGCAAAGGTCTCTCCTGATCGTTTTCTAGCTACATTGATATTTCAGACTAGCCGGAAAGTTAATTTTAATCTAAGATCTGCATACTACACTACGGTAGTTTGTTCATTTGTATTTGTTGTTTTTTACCTACATTGGAGACATCGTTTAGGACATCGAGTAACTCACCTGTAACGGCCGTTATTCTTGACAGCTATTCCATTAATAACTGACCCCAGCATCCTGTATGACCACTCACCCAAAACAAACTCTTGGCGCTCATTTGATTCGCTAATTGCCACAAAATGTACTTATCGCAAATAATTTAAGCCACGAATGGCAGGGAGAGGCGAAATGAAACTAAACCTATCAAGAAGAACCAAAATAGTCCTAAGGTGAAAGCATCGAAGGCCACGGCCACGACGCATCTATGAAACTAGAGGCCCCGATCTCGGGATATCATTGCCCGCCCCCCACGACGCTCAATGTACTGAACAACGACAGCGCTAACTCCTGTTCAAGGCTCAATTTCGGGCAAAGCAGTAGACAAAGCCATCTAACCGGATGACGTTAGCTGATGCCAAATATTAATGCACCGAACTCAACAGCAAGTCATCTTTTAGGATATGCGGCACATGACCTGCATAAGACGCCCATTTCGGATCCTAGTATCACGTGCTCAGTCTATAGGTCTATATTTGCACATAGTTCTCAACGGGAGAACACATTCGGCGATGCCTAAGTCTTATAGATAACATTTGTTTGACTCGGACCTCAAATCCCAGCAAACGAAAAGAGCTCTCGTTTTGACCCTCTATAGAACGGAAGAGAGGCCGAACATTTTCATGCCACTTCACTCTTTCAAAATCAAAAAAAAAAATATTCCCCTATAAGCTTGCACTAGCAAATTGCAATGTCTACTCAGCCCTTCGGCGCTCAAATTTTTTAAGCAGGCCAAAAAGCTTCTTTCATTTCAGCCACCTCGGTGCCGCCGTCTCGTGAAAAGACACCACCAAAAACCTCCTCACAGCGTTCCGAGACCCGCAATAATGCAGCTGTTATCTAAATTAGCTAAAGACGTTTAGGCGTGCCCCATGATGCTGCACCCTATTACCAGCTTGGAATTATGTCGCACAGACCAATGCTCATACATTCTTTCAGATATGCGAGAAATCGCGATGGCTTGCTCCAGCGGCACATCGCAGAGAGATGAGTGAGGCGCTGTATAACAGTTGATAGTTCACCGTTACTAGTCCTCACGCAGAAGGCCTATCCGCCTATGCGTGACTTGAGGACTGGACCTGAGGAGTGGTTATGCGAGTTTTATAAGCAGCGCAAACTTTGCTCTCGGAATGACACGGAGCATGCGCACACAACCAAACTCAACATGAACTTTTTTTCCACGAAGCGATGTTGGTTAGTGCACGCAAAGCTTAACCAACGCCTCCTCTAGAAAGATGCCTGAGGAATGGCTCGCGCTCCCGGCGGAGTTGGCCTGCCTTCAGTTTTAAACAAGCTCCGCGCGGTGGCGCTCGCGACCGACACTATTATCACGGCGACGGACGGTACCAGCTAAGCGTTCTTCATCTGCGGCCCATAGGGGCGCGTCAGTCGAGAGTTGTTCGAGATCTGCAACTGTGCACCACTGTTTTGTAGGCTATGCGAAGTGTTGCGTTGTTGCACCGTCCGCCACAGGTGACGCTAGCGACCGAGAACATTTTCAAAATGAAGGAGAGAAAGGGTGTGGCAGCTGTTTTTTTTTTTTTTTTCTCATGCGGCAGGCATCTTCCTAGAAGAGGCGTTGGCTTAACGTAATAAGTTTCTAAAACTCCAACAGTGTTCGACGCCGTCGGCGCATCCACGCAGACCTATTTCGTTTGGAGAGCGAAGATACAGTTAGCGCTTGCGTAGCATTACCGTTGCTATTGCTTCAGAAAGCAGCAGCTTGGAAACCTAGTGTTTTGGGTTCGAACTGAACGTATGACGCGAAACTACGACAACCTGGACAGGAGTTATGCAAAGACAGCAACATCCCGCACACTCTGAAGCTCCTCAGAGCGACCAATACGCACGGACGATTTTTCCAAAGTCAGCTACTAACTTGTCACTAGATATCACTGTCTATAAATACCTGTCTGCTTGCTCTCTTTTCTACTTACCTCGAAAGTTACAGCGTTAGTCAATTGTTCGAAACGTCGACGTGCAGCCCTAAGCATTAGGTCTGCCAGAAGGCGAAGTCTAGTCATACATACTATATAGTTGTACATGTTTTGTACTGCCCACGCTTACGGGCAGCTAGGACTCACACATATATACGCGAAGCTGTGGTGCATACAAACGTCGCGGTATTTCGAAAACCGCCTTCAGTTGTCATTATCCCCGAAGCGATTTTATTGTCTCTCCGCGTTTACGTCAAGCAGTTTATCTGTGCACAAGCGTCTACATTAGTAACACTGAATGCACGTTACTCTACACACCCCGTTTTTATACTGCCACTACACCGCACAGATGGTCAAAGTGAGCAGCGTTATAACAGATATCGGTAACTCCACACTTCACACCACCGCAAACCCTTTAATATTGGACGTGTTCGAACAGGCATTTCCGAAATGTTTGAGCGTATTGTTTGTAAAGATACGTCACAGGTTAATGCGACACTACCGTTAACCCTAGTCGTACGACTATTATTGCAATGGCTGCTTTGGCTTAAAAGGTTGCTCCAATAAGCGGCAAGCCTACTTGCAATGCTAAACCAGCCACTACACATCGCATCATTCTGTTCTTCTCCCAAGAAACAAAAAACTGACGAAGTAATCTCACCAACCTGGATTCAACCGCAAGCGGAGTTGTAAAAAAAAAAAGACGACGCAGAAGTCAGGGGAAAAGGCAATTAGAAACAAAGATGCCAAACACATTAAACCGAAAGCCAGTGTTTGAGGTCGGGCTACACAAGGTACCACATACCACCCACCTCATACTTTATAAGAGGTATTTAACACAATCGGCACACACCACACACTAAAATGTATAGTGTTAGCCTGAATCCGAAGCCGGTGTATTCGGTTCAAGCGTATACTTGTGTTGTGCCAAAGCCCTGCCAAATGAGAGGTACTTCCGAGTCAAATTGAATGCCTTAACAAAAACTGGATTTCTATGTTACACAAAGACACGAAGAAAATGCGTCTTTTTTCATTATTTATTTTTATTTGACAACAATATGGAAAGGTACGCTACGTGACAGAGCACGCCGCCATCTGCCAAAACAATGCCTCCCACTATTTCCTTGTCTCCTGATTATTTCAATTCAAATGAACCGAGCGCAAAGGAGCCTAGTGCGCACTATTCTAAAGCGAATCCGGCAAACATCGACCTTCACACGAGGGGCCGACGCGACAGGGTATGACATATTGGGGCATGTATGCGGCAAAGTACGAATTAATGAATCTCATTTACATACCACACTTTGGCATTTGCCATCACCGTAACGAATCAGCGTAACCAGACAAACATTATTTTTTTTATGTAAACTTTTTCTCTTGCTCATGGTTTCTAGCTGAGTGTGCCATACCAAGACTATGCACGCAAGACAGGCTACGCTACACAAACACAAGAACTAAACATCAGTAATCAAAAACGCGGTACGATGGCAGACATAAACATCTTATATGACTCTAAATGTAGTAAATACAATCTCTACTACGTGAGACAATGCACAAAGATCATGGAAGAAATGGAGATCTTCCTTGACTGACCTGTCAACACGTGTCTTTGCATTTTTTTTTTTTGAGAGGTAGAATTAAGAGCAGCTTAAAGTACCATTTATATGTTCATTAAATGTAGGAACCAAATAACGCAAGGATCGAATAAACGCTTTGGCAGAATCACACCCTTGTTACCGTGCAGCCCTCCCACGTATACTGACCTGCGTGAGTCAGCCATAGGGGATACGAGAGACATTCCAACGAACACAAAAGAGCATTTTCATTGTATATTCGTGGTACAATAAACTTATAGTGTTCACCATTGTGTTCATTCATTACCTGAGGCCGGCGAAACCCGCGGAGCACACTCATGCTCACCCATGAAATACATTTTGCGCATTCAACTCGCCCGGACTCAAACTGACCAAAATATTACTGTCGGGCTCACTCAGACTCAGACTCATCTGAGTCTGAGTGATGATTGATTGATTGAGTGATGATTGATTGATATGAGCATGAGAGAGGCTAAGTCTCAGTGAGTCGATTCACGAGTCCGTTGGCCTATAATTAGCTTTCTCGACCAAAGTGTCGAGGCTATTTAGCACCAATATATCATGCATTCGGTGCTCATCTTGGCGCCATTTATAAACTATAGCATCGAATACAATCCTGCAAGAGTTGAAGGGGGCGGGGGGGGGGGGGACATCAAGGCAGCCTACTACGTGATTCCCGCCTCTGATTTTTAAATATTGAAATGGTGCATGAACGACACTGTTTTAGACTACGTGTGAATAGACGTGAGTATAAGCATTGTATGGCTGATAATACTGGTAGAGCCGAGTATACCGGAGTCAAGCCACAGCAGCGCCTGCTCATGGTGTGTACATTTCGATTATGACTCATGTCGATGCTTAAGTCTAACGAGTCGCCGCTGTGGCGCAAATGAATGCAGGACAGGCGTAGTTTACGCATCGTGATATGTTCGCGCAGAGCCATTACCACGCAATCTCATACAACCTCTACTATATATATATATATATATATATATATATATATATATATATATATATATATATATATATATATTCTCGCTTCGTTTGCGCGGGCACATATTTCTTGTCCAGTGGCCTCCACATAAGCATGTATGTCACCCACTACGAGAAGTGACATTATTCCCTCCTCCTCAAAAAACAGCATCTCCTCGATGCGGCAAGGTAGGTGTAAGAAAAGAGAGATAATTAAGCAGATTAAACAGCGCGAAAGAATACAGATGGTGAAATGCTAAGCTAAGGGTGACATGCTTATGCGGAGGCACAATATATACACTGCAGTGTGAATTTTCAACGACTCAGAGCAACGCTTTTCAAGATTGTCGGCAGCTAATTGGATTTCTGCGGTTTACTTTTTTTTTTCTTTTTTGTCCCTTTTTCTTATCAGACTTTCGAACAGCTGCGAATAAACTACGAACCACACGCGCGACTTTGCGAGAAGACACGTTTATTTATTGGAAGCCAAACGGACGTTCGACATCAGCATGGACGGCAAAATAGGCGATCGCGACAGCTCGCGACGATTCATCATCCGATTCATCATCCATCACCACGCGTCCGCCTATATTTATGCCGCCCACACTCCTCATACGGCCAAGATACACCGAACATTTGTTTTTTGTTTCGTTTTCTTTAGGAGCGAAGCTCCTTAAGGCGTGGGGCTGTGCGTCCCCTGTATGTAGCCACCTCTCGTGGCTACATACAGGGGACTACATACAGTGGCTACATATAGTGGCTAGCGTAGTATTACGCTAGCCACCGCCCGATCTAAAGGGTACAGCCATATCCATCCGTCCATCCGTCCATCCATCCGTCCATCCGTCCATCCGTCCGTCCGTCCAAAAGATGCAAGATGTTATAAACTAGACGGCGGTACGTGTAGTTGATTATGAAAGATGCGAGGTGTTATAAAATAGGAATGATGCCACATATGGCGCGTGTCATCGTTCGATATAGTGCGGCGACGTACGCTAGGGGGAGCGTTGCAATAAAATCGAGTGGGCAAAATGTACGGAGGATTCATGGTTTACCAGGTTTACCTCCGGAGCTTCGCCCACTCATCATCATTCACTTCGTGGATATGGCGGAATTTTTTTTTTCTGCACGTGCCTGCTCCTATTGGGACGAAGCCGCCAAAATTAGTGCGTGTCTGCACTAAGTGTTTTCTTCGCAGCCTACTTTTTCAAGGGTGAACAAAAATTTAAGTTTTAAAGTCACAACAGCCGCCAATGTTTTGACCCTGTTGAACTTTACAGAACACGAGGTCGTTCTAAATCGACTAATTAAATCTCTTCCAACTTGACGACTGGCGTTATCGCAATGGTAAAATCACAAACTCAAAGAAAATAAACAAAGAAACGACTGAGCTGTAACGTTCAGTTCCATTCGGCCGCACTCTGATTTAAGCATTCCGGCTCAAATTAGCAGGTCAAATTTTACGGCTCAAAAATCTTCCAAGTACCACTTACCAGTGGTCCTCGGCTTTGCTGTACCACAACCTCGACTTGTTCGTCGCTTTAACGAATTAAGGACGCTAACTAGTCGCTAACCAGTTCTATACGCTTCTTCTATCTGCGTAGGAGCAGAGTCACTTCAATCGAACGTTCATACAATACCAATTAATTTTCTTCACATGTCGATCATAAACTGTCTTAAAACAACACTTTAATTGATTGATTGATTGATTGATTGATTGATTGATTGATTGATTGATTGACATGTGGAGTTTAACGTCCCAAAACCACCATATGATTATGAGAGACGCCATACTG